TGACACACAAATTATTCGGCGAAATAAATAATATAATAAAGATGTATGGGTGTAAATAGAAATAAATAAAAATACGCGAACATAGCAAAAGAATATAATCGGCGTCCACCAAGCGAAACGCTTAAGCCAATAGATTACGTAGCGGAGAAGTAAATATTATGGAAATAATTTGCATTAAAGCGAAAATTAATAAACAAGCAATTAATGATTAATGCCTATGACATAATGTAACATGAAGCTATTTGTATAGATCGTACACAAACAACAGATACAGGCTAATTCGACAAATGCGAATAGACAATTTAATTTGATACTAAATAATAGTAAAATCTTATGCAAACACAAAAAAGCTAAACAAGATAAGCAATTCTTATTGCTTTTATATAGTAATTTAAGATGATAAATTTTATAGTATAGAAATGACAATTAGCATACTTGTATATAAAACAGAAGTTTTTAGTTATTTGTTTTACCGAATGAAGCGACTATTGCAATAAGAAAGCATACCGATTCCAAAAGAAAACAGATATCAAAGAGATTCATTGAAGTACATATTGCAAGAGACTATGAGCTAAAAGTAAGAGTATTTACAATATAATTCAATAAAAAACCAACAAATTTGGAAGTAATGAAGAAACTGTAGTGGTAGAAGTGGGTGCCTCGCGGATCTGTGTAATAACATCCTTTTGAAACGGATGTTTTCAAAACCACTCGAATTGTGTATGTTTCCCTCCCTCTACGAATCTTAAAAACACTTTCACATTCTTCAAAAGGTAATCTTTTAAAGGAACTCATATAAGACAAAAATTGAAATTACCTGAACTTTTCACGAAAAAAAAAATTAAATTTTTCTTTTTTAGAGACACTGAAAAATCCACAACGAAACTAACATTTTACTGCACATACTTACGTTCGTATGTTTTTATGTGTGTTACGTCAAACTGTTACTTCATACACAATCAGTGTCCTCGTCATTCACAATCGACATTGATCGCAACCCAAAATTGGACATACAAAGCACGCGGCAAATTACACACTTAAAAATCAATGATACTTCTACAACAATTGAAGAGCTCTACGAGCAACTGAGATTGATATGACCAAAATAGTTGCTACCGCTTAACCCTGATCTTCGTACATTTATGGCAGTCATTAATACAAACAAGCTGAGCGAAAACCATTTCCGATTTGAGAGCTCATCTACGAACACATGTCCGGAATCCAAAAATGCCATAGTTGTACAACAACATTTTCGAGTGGTAATAATTACTGTCACAATGTTTCATTTAAATGCAATTAGTGCCTACTACTCTAGTTATGGAAGCCGCGCGCCGCACCACACACAGCGTCTTCATTTGACCCAGGCAGAGCAACTGGCGAATAGGTAGAGCGCATCTTAAAATGCTATTGTACGCTGGTCATTAATTAATTGTCGGGTCGTTCGTCTCAACTCAATAAGTCGCATTTGTGAACAAAAGAAATGATGAAATACATTTTCAACTGTCTACAAAAAGGCAGAGGACGACCGTCGCCGGGTGTACTTGCAGTGTGCGGGCATGTGGGGGGCCAATTAGACATTTGACTAAATTAAGATGCCTTTAAATTTACTGCCACATAGTCTTTGTGTGTACATGCTTCTATGTAATATTTTAAATATATGCATGCATGTATGTATGTATGTGAGACTGTGTAATGCCTCGCTTGCAATGAGCGTAGACGCCGGGCGGATGTGTTGTTGACCCGATCTGTTGCACACAGCTCATAAGTTGATGACAACAAAGACAGTCAGAGTCAGTTAGCCTGTCAAGTTGCCTTTTTCTCTACCTCTCTGTCGGTAGGTATGTCGGTTTGTCTAACTGACAATTCGTCTCGGCAATGAGATGATTCATGCTATCATCAAGTAAGTTTTGTTATGCTTCCATATCATTGACTCGTGTCATTGCATTGCACGTCGACATTGTTCACGGCATTTCTCACAAGTATTTTCCGCATCATTGTGTACGAACTACTTGTAATTGCATATTACCGACACTGGAAGGAAATACTACTGTCACTTTTTAAGTATAATTGTTATAGATTAATTTTAAGCTTACAAAGAAAATACATTTGTTGCAAGATAAATGCTTTAATTTTAAGATGTAGTACGTGCCTTACTACATTAGTGCAATGGAAACATTACTATCACGCATATTTATAAAAATTGCTTTGTGCTCAAAAATAAAAAAATTAACACATACTTTGTTATCTGAATATTTTTTATGAATTTGGATAACAAATATCTTCCTGAAGACTGAACTTCCTATAGCTTGTCTGGTGGTATTCTTCCTAGCGGGTATTTGAAAATTAAGTTTTGAGGAATACCAGCCTTCGATAGTTAGCTTTAGCACTACCGAGTTTACACTCAGTCCACCAAATAATACTTATTTCTGTCTGAATGCTAACTTAAAATGATAGAGAAAATGTTCCAAAAATATTAAAAGTATGAGGTATGTATGTTTTAATCACACACTAGTAGCGTGAAATTAAAAAATAACCGATTTGTTTTTTAATTTTCGAAACTAAAATTTTAATTCTGGAATGAACCGCTCTATCAGTTTATCTTTTACTCTTAGACAAATTATCCAATCACTACCAAATATTTTCTGCATGTTGTGTACCAATATACTAGTTCTACGGATATCCACGGAGAAGACCAGAATCACTGCAGATCGGTGGAGGATATTTTTTAAGCGTCGTCGGAGATCGCGTGTAACTCGAAATATATTGAATATTTTGGTGTATTCTTAATATATGTATGTATGTATAAATACGCTTTATAATTTAAAAGAATAGATACTGTAGTTTTTTTTTAAATGATGGAATGTTCCGACGCCATAAATAAATTTAACTTAAGGCACTCATAATTTTTCTCATTGCTTTCATTAATCACTAGTAAGCAAATGAAATTGAAAACAAACAAAGAAATATTCTCTTCACTCAGGTGCGGATAGAACAAAGCACTGAAAGATTGTTGTTGCTCTCGCTGAACTCGTGCACTCGCTTTGTTTTGTCTGAACGGATTTGTTTACATCCCTATTCCAACTAATAAAAAGCAACGAGTAGACCAACAACTGCTGAAAACCTGCACTAAATGATAAAGAAACGAGTTCACAGTGCTGGTAAACGGCAGTAACGAGACAAGAAAGTAAAATCAGACTTTTCCATTCAATAACGAGTTTGTGTTAAGCTTTTAAAATCGATAGATGATGGATTGAATGCTGGAGGGGAAATTGCTGACTGATAGACTGTTCGCCGTTTAACTGCATTTAAACAGCTGACTTGTGCAGACAGCAAATATGCATACCTACATATGTATGTGCAAATGTAAACAAAGCAAAAGCAAACACCACTACAAATGGAATCAGACATTGGACATTGTCAACGCCGCATTAGAGCGTGACAGCGGCAACTGACAGCTCGGCTCTGATTGAATTGAACGGAATCCCCCGCATATTTCGATAGTTGTTGGCATAAGTAAAATGTGTTTGTCCTTTAGAAACAACTGAAAACGGTGTAGATGCCATTGAAATTGGGGTGGTTGCAATTGAAATTTTCTCTTCCAACTGCGAAAATAAACCGAAGTAAATAAGTTTACATATGGTATGGTTGTATATGTGTATGTGCTTCTACTTTTGGATTGACAAAGTACACAAAGGTTGCTTATTGACGTTCAATGCTTATTTATGTGTGTTTGTTTGCGCATACATAGAATGCTGCCTAATTTCCCAAGATGGCAAACGAACGACAGCAGCAACTGCGTAGTCAATGTACAAACCAAAATCCATAAATGTCCAGCAGCAATGCGTAATCAAAAAAATTGTAAGCGTAAAAAGAAACAACAACGATAACAATGAGGCAATGCACTCGCAGACGTGACAGCAACGAATTGGTGTTGCCATTGCCGATATGTATAAAGAAATCGATTGCGGACGCGGGACGCTGTCTCTAATGCGCTCAATGAAGATACGGTGATTTCAAAAAGTTTGCGAGCAACTATTTAATTATGAAGGATAGATTGCAGTTTGGATGTAAAAGAAGATGCAGTTGGAGAAGTTGTGGGTACTGTTAAAATATTCCTGTTTTGCAATATTACATTTTAGTATACGTTAGTATACCTTCAAGAAGCTTAAATAAGAAATTTATCAATTATTTTTGTGACATTTATGATTTTCACTGAAAATAAAATGAACACTTTCAGTACAGAATATTAAATAAGGAAAAAATATATTTTATTAATATCTTTATATTGATGTTGATCGGTCAATTTGAATGGTAACTATATGCTATAGTGATCCGATCTGAAAAATTTGAGATGTAGCGTTGCTTTGGTCAATAATCTATGGCAAATTTTGTGTAGAAATATTATTAAATAAAACAGTTTTTCATACCAGAACTTGATTTTGATCGGTTAATTTGTATGACAACTATATCTAATAGTGACACGATATCGGCGGTTTCAACAACTTCGATATCTCAAAAACTGAGCTATTAGTTGGCGTATGTGTATAAAGACAGACAGAGAGGCTTAAATCGACTCAGCTCGTCACGTCATTTATATACAATACTGTAGTTATATACTTTTATGCCACACTGTAAAATTGTTGCACTCTACCAATGAACATTCAACAGCCAAGAGGCAACCACAATCGACCAATACCACTTGACTCGCGTTGCAAGTGAGGTGAAAAATTGTGATTTTTACGCACAATGACATGAGGCAAACGCGAATGTTGAGGCAACTGTGCAAACTTGGAGACTTTCCGAGCAGTTTGGCTTAACAGTGAGCTCACATAAATATATAGTCAAGCACGCATGGAATTATGCGCAATTTTGCTGCCAGGAAATTTCATTTTCATTTTGTTTAGCTCTTATTTTCATTACTGCGCCCACTTTCGCACACGTTCAGATGGAGGTCTGATATATGCTGTCGGTTTGTATATACAACATTATGTGATACTTACATATATGCCGGTGTGTGTATACTTTTATTGACCCGCTGAGTTGCATGTGGCAAGCAACTGGGCTGCCACTTGGCGTACTCGCACAATCTCTGCTCTCAAAGCGCTTATGTACGGCTATCGGCGTGTATGAATGGATTTCTGAAATGGAAATTTTAAGGTTGACCATGAATTTACAAGACGGCTGCAGTAGCAAAAACTAAATAAAAATAAGTTTTGTTAAAAATAAAGTAGATACGCAACAACACAACAACAGTACATTGACAACAGACAGAGAAAGTGTGGTTCACGTCTAATCACAATATTAAGCCAGTTGGTGGATAATTTGTGCGACCAGCTAACACGCTTGCAAATCAATTTTTTGCTGGGAGGGTGAAGGCAGAAGCGAACAAAGTGCCGGCTGGCAGCTTCTCAGAATTAGTGCCACAATTTGTAGTTTCAGTTGCACAGTTTAAAATCAACTAGACGAAGGCATCGGTTTTGCCTCTAAATGAAGCGAAAAAGAAAACACTTGTGTCTCAAATGACATACGAAGAAAAGTGGGCATTCAGTTTGGATACACATACTGTTTACTTCAGTGCCTTGCACACATTACTAATCGATATTAGAAGCAAACAAATCGTTCCTTTAACTTATTTTAAAATAAATGCTGGATTTATTGATTTATATTTCTATAAAAGCAATAAGTTTCGAGTTTTTTTTTCGATTTTTGTCATACATTTGCTTATTATTGTTCTCGTCGCTTTGTAGCAGCCCTAAATGGTTTCGACGGAATTGCATTGTGCAAAACAGCGAATGACTGCGTCAAAATGCCATAATCGTCAATACGTCGGAAATGTGCGGCATGACGTTTATTCATAAATATATTGACAAACAATGATACATGCATATATGCATATGCAGTTCGCACTTATGCACTTACTGAATACTTTTTTATTTGCATAGCGCATAAAACATCCGCTCTAAGCTGTTTCAGTGTTTTCTTTGAACAATGAATTTTACTTCCATGCACTCCTTAGAATATTTTTGCAATGTAAGATACAAAGATTTATATATTATATATACATATCTAGAGTGGGTGTGTGTTCTATTCATACCAAGAAGAAAATATGAGCGGAAAATTTTAAAGGAAGAAGTAATGTTATTTTGGCTTAGCTAAAAGTGTTTTATATATGTATGTGAATAAAATATATTACCTATTGGGTTTCTCCTTATGGTTCTTATATAAACATACATATAGCCACGGTTGTTAACTTTCAATTAAAAAATCTTGCATTAAAATTAATTTTAAATTTTTAAATACGAATTTGCAATTAAAAATCAAATTTTTTATCCCAATTGCAAAATTACAAGTTAATAAAATATTTTTTATTTTGAAAATCGGAGTAACAAGTAAAAATGCAATTTTTCAAACAAAAAGTTGGAATGAAAAACGATAGGAAAGAAAAGATTTACATATTTCTAACTAAAGCACTTAATGCGAAATTTAAAAAAAAAAATCGACTTGTTCATATTTTATATCTTTAAAATAAGATACTAAACTTTCTGATGTATATCTTAAATAGTTTTTGAGTTACAGTCTTTTAAAATTGGTCCAATCAGCTTAATCAGTTTATATTTAAACGTGTTTTTCTCGAAATAGTTTTGCAAACGATCTAATCAAAAATCGAATTTTGAAAGGCCATAAACAACAAAAATTTGGAAAAAATCTCACTTTATTATACCGTTAGAAATTTAAAACTATTGATACAGTATTTTTTTTTTATTCCCCAAAATCGCCATTTTAGGCTGTCACACTAGGTGTGCCTTTTAACATCAATTAAATGTATGGAAACAAAACAAAGATTGTTAAACTTGTTGAAATATTATTAACAATAAGCTTTCCCTTTCAAAAAAAAAAACGGTTGAACACGAATTGCACAAGCGCGAATATTTAGGAGTATAATTTTCATTTTAATTATTAATCCGATTTTTGGGATTAAAAATTTATTTTAAAATTTTTAACCGGTATTTCGGCTTAGAAATTTTAAAACTATTTTTAATTAGTATTTTCGGGATTACAAAATATTGTATATAAAAATAATTTAAATAATACTGGAATTAATTTTTTTTAATGCATTATTTGCAACCCTGCATACAGTAGCTCATAATCGAGATTGTGTAACCCGACACAAACATATACTAACATACATATGTGCATACGTAGTTACAGTACAGTAGTTGCACTTTAATAAAAAAAATTTAAGTTTCCAAAACAACGTTTTCATATTCTTGCTGGGAGAACAAAATCAGAGCTACACATATGCACCGTAACCGACTGGCGATCATTTGCTCAACGTGTGCACTGATAGTCAATTACTTTGAACAGTTCTTAATTAAAAAACACAAAAATCAGAATAATAATGAAAAAAAAGATTTAATAGGTGTGCAAATAGCATGGCAAATTGGCTTCTTCAAGGCGAGATCACACACAATCGTTCGTGTGTGCAAGGAGAACACTTTTCATTTACACGCATAAATTTTCACAAATACACATAAATATGTATGTACATGCGGACGTGTATATTACATAAAGTAATTATCGTTAATTTTCTTTGCTATTGTTGTTGCGGGTAATTGGGTGGCCAATGCTTCACTTTGTGTTCAGCTTACGTAACATAAATTTGTATTATGTGTGTGCGTGTACATTTTTCTGTATGCACGAGTATGATGTTCAAATTCAATTGATTGCAACAATAGCAATTGGGTTGATAAAAATTGAAAGCTAACAGGTGAAACTCGCGAAAGCTTGTTTGTTGTTGTAATGTGTGTCAATGTCACGTATACGACACGGATTACTTCCAGATGCACAAGTGCAGCGGCAATGCATTTTACAACTAAAAGTTCTTAAGTAGAAAATAAAAAAAGGTAATGGTCAATCAAAGATCTGGCCACATTGTTTGTATAACAGAGTTTTGTTGACACAGCACAAACAAAAATTGCACGAAGTAAGCAGAAAGCAAATAATTTTTTTTTAAATAATTTCATCGTTCAAGTGCAACAAGCGAAGAGGATTAAATTTCACTTTCAACGCTCTGAAATATCGTCATTTGTACCCGTACTTTCGTTGTACAACGGATAATGCTATTGTCACTGCGACGTACACTATTCCTCCCTCTCTACTAAAATAATGCTATTTATGCAAACACGGCCTGTCACTGACAATTGTCAGTTTGTGTAGTGACAGAACCGCCTCACAACCAAGGGACACTACTGCCATATAAGTAAGTAGGATTGTACAAAATAGTTTGTACATGCATTTGTATAAACAAACAGTAGCGTACTTATTTCTTTAATTATTAAGTTTTAGCGGAGAGAACATTATATTGATCGAATTCTGTCAGCATGACATTACAACTAGAATTTACTCACATAAACGACGGTGCCTTTGACTCACTAATTCAAGTGGCCATGACTTTAAAATAAATAACAAGATTAAGTGTTGCTTTCTACAGTGAATTACGATGAGATTAATGGAGCGACTCAATTTATTAAAACAAAAAATGTGCAAATGCATAGTGGTGGCAACAGGAAATTGTTGATCGATTACTCAAAAGCAACGATTGTTGATTGCATCAAAGAAGTAGTAACACTAGTACAACGTTTTCAACTACATATTATTTTAATCATGAAAGTAAATTGATACATAATTAAATTAGAATAGTTTATTTGAATATAGCAGTGTATTTCACTCGCAATAGCAGAGATTTGAGCCAAAATAGAAGAAAATATGGATTTTTAACAGTACAACAAATATTGTTTTTATTATTACTGTATATCTTCTCAAAAATTATTTCAGGACCAGTGCCAGGTGTTCCAACAACAAAAATGCATTTGTATATATGGCAACAAGGTGAGGCCGTAGTATTAGCTCTCAAGTTTAGATTGCGGTTAATAAACATTACAATACGTATATACAAGTAAGTTACAGCAACACGACAAAATTCCTACATAATTGATTAAAGTACAAACACCGAAATGCTTGTGTTTTTAACCGCTAATTGTGTAATTTTTTAACATCTCAAAAACTTGTTTCGTGCTTGTGTTGGTGTACAAATAATTGTGTTAAACTGGTAAACATTAATTGTTAACGGCAAGTAATTATTTATGATGTTTTCGAAAAGCGCAAGTGTGTGTGCGAGAGGCTATTTATTACAACAATTTTAAATTTATTTCTACACCAACACATAGATATGTAGATATAAAGCATATCAAATATTTGTGTGTATATTTTCCTTAAGCTTAAAGGGGATTTCACTCAATTTTGCGCGTAGTCTCGATGGTTCAACAATAATTGTCGAGACGCACGCTATGTCCAGGCAATCGGCTGCTCAGCTAAACTTAATAGAAATATTTGTATAATATATTTACACATATATACATAAATATGTATCTGGCTATGCACCACTCTCTGTACATATATATATACTCGTATGTACACCATATTTATGTAAAACAAGAAAAAACGTTTACTTCGGTTGCACCGAAGCTATAATACCCTTTACAGAATTTGATTCCAATTGTCAATTTGTAAGGCAGCTACATGATATAGTGATCTGATCTGAACAATTTCTTCGGAGATTACATTATTTCTTTAAATAATAATTCATGCCAAATTTCGTGAAGATACCTCGTCAAATAAAATATTTTTCCATACAAGCACTTGATCATTCAGTTTGTATGTCAGCTATATGCTATAGTGATGGGAGATCGGCCGTTTCGACAAATGAGCAACTGCTTAGTGAGAAAAGGACAGGTGCAAAATTTCTGATCGATAGCTTAAAAACTGAGGGACTAATTCAGACTTACAAGGCTAAATCAACTTAGCTCATCGCGCTGATCATTTATGTATACATTTTATAGGGTCTGCGACGTTTCCTTCTGGGTGTTACAAACTTCGTGGCAAACTTAATATACCATGTTCAGGGTATAAATATCTAGATATTTTTAGGCAAAAATATGTATGTGTGTATGTTCATGTGGGTATATTATGCGATAGCTAAGCGGGCGGGCAACATTCATTCAACCATTTGAGAAACTGAACGTAAACAGCTGAAGCACAAAAATTCTTGAATTTAGAAAAAATTATGTATGTACATAAG